ATCAGTTTTAGAAATCTCGCAAACGATAAGTATGCAATAAACGATTTTACTATGAAAAATTAGTTTATTAAATAAGAGCTTCATGGTGTTTTTATGATTTTACTAATCTCAGTTCTGTATCGGTGAATGGTGTGATATTCTTATTAGGCTAGTATAGCTCACCATTTCATTAACTATTTCATATCAAAAGGATCAAGATCCAGATCCCGATCAACAAGGGAGTTGTGAATAGTTCACCAACCAAACTCCCTTCAAAAGTTAGTGAATGTCGTTTTAGGATACTCAGTTGTTTATTTTTCATTTATTTCTTTAAATTTTTCTTGTTCTTTTAGAAGGGACATTCTTGTATCCCTATTGGATATTCTAAATTATTGTGTAAGAAATATAAATTCTAATTCTATTATTTTGTTTCCGCATTCAATTCATAATTTTATTTTCTTATAAGTTTCGGCCCTTTACATGATATTTTTAGTATATTAGAATTATCCATGTTGCTTAATATATTGGTTTTAACTTTTTCATATATGGATGTATACAATATAAATATGTATAGATGATTGACCCAATCAATATTGTAGTTTTTGTTTGTTTGTTTGTTTGTATATAATGAGATTCATATATATTCAAATATATATATACACACACACATTATTTTTATGTATGAAAGGAAGAAAAAACACACCCTTTGGATCTAAAGTATCCAACATATAGACATAATTCATTATACACAAAAATTCAAAAGTGTATAAATGCAAATTTGTCTCTAGTAGAAAATTTGGATTTTTTTTAAATGTTGAGAAAATTATGTAAAGCAATGATAATTAATGTTTAATTGGACCTCGTGTCTTGTTTTATGTCTTTGATGTAACAACATTTTTTTTAATTTTTAAATATATGAAATTTCATTTCAAAATAAATTGTCAAGACGAAAAAAAGGTAATTTATTAAACATTTTTCAACTTAATTTTAATATAAAAATTTGTAAAAACATTTTTTTAATTTAATGTGATTGAACATTTCTTTTGTTTATATACTTAATTCTTTTTGTTATTAATTAATTACTTTTATATTGTAAATTTTGATATGACAATCATTTAATAGTAGTGAAAAAACTTAATTTTGGGTTAAATAGTTATTCTTTATGCCTTATTTTATCTGAAAAAATAATTTATCAGTAAAATAAATATAACAATTGATTAACAATTATAATATTGATATTAACTTTTAAATTGCATTTATAACCCAAAAAAAAAAGTTATTGAACTACACTATCTATAAAACTGAAGTTTAGATGCCCTAATAATTTATTTGTTAAACTCTTTCCCGAATTCT